GGAACTTTGAAAATAATTCAATCTATTTACCTGATTGTATAGATGAGAAGACCAAGTTTCAGCAAGACTAAATGCTTTGTCCAAATTCATACAGCTTGTAACAAAGCGAAGACAGAATTCTTATCTTCTAACCCCTAGGCCATCAAAAGTTATATTCTCCACTATGCCTCCCAAAGCCCAGATAAAGTCCTAATAAAAATTAACACAGAAAGCCTCAAATTTTAGTCAGTTTGTTTTCAAATAAATGTTTAGCCGTGTTTGTTTTTAAAAATTAAATTTATAAACATCCTTCTAAAAAGCAAATATATAGTTTTATGACAATAAGATTCAATATTGTTGCCACAGGAGTTACAAATTCAACATTTTTATCCTGAAACACATTTATGAGAATGTTAAACTGTGGTCATTCTTTATATTTGGTCAAAATTTTAACCAAGACTTTATCTCCCAGGCCACATTGTTTTATAAGTTGAAATCTGAGTGATTCTGGTTGTTTCTTATGAAAATCTCTTCAGTAATCACCTTTGTTTTTAGGAAGCGCTCAGTAAGATGACACAAATAGTTAACGAGACGGACCTGTTAATGAACAACATGCTCATAGAAGAGCTACAAGACTGGAAGCGGAGGCAGCAAATCGCCTGCATCGGAGGTCCACTCCACAACGGGCTCGACCAGCTTCAAAACTGGTAAAATGAATTCACTTCCGTTTCTAGTGAAAACCACAGGAAGTACAAAACTTCAGTGTCACTCAGCCAGAGAATGCAGGTTTAGACCAGAACGCCGTTTCATTCAGCCTACCGATGGCTTATTAGCAGCTGGGAACTCTGCAGTTGAAAACAATCGATGGAATAGTATAACTGTTCTTAATTTTCATTCCTTTGTGTGTAGGGAATAAAAGGAAGCTTCTGTAGAATGCCTAAGAATTGCTTAATTTTCACATACAAGATATCAGTCTTAAAAGATGCAAATAAATTTTTGAAACTAGCAATACACTCTCTTTAAGGACATAGTAAGGAAGCACTAGCTTCAAAATCATGAAAATAGATATTGACTTTTTAAATGTGTATCTTAGGATACATTTAAAGTTAAACGTTAATTTTGTACTTTCAGCTTAGTGATTTATTGTGTTAAGTATGTTGATAAAGGATACAAAATTTCAGTCAGGAGGACTAAGTTTAAGAGATCTAATGTACATCATGGTGATTATGGTTAACAACACATGGTATACTTGAAAATTACTAAGAAAGTAGATTTTAAGTATTCTTACCACGAAGAAGTATTTTAGGTAATAATGCATATTATTTAGCTTGATTTAACCATTCTATAATGTATACATATATTAAAACATCCTGTCATGTACCATAAATATATCCTGTCTATGTATGCACATATGCAATCAAATATAAATACTATCCCATTATCCAAAGTGAGGCACCAAAAGAGCAGAAGAACGGGATCCATTTGTACTCACCATCAAATTGGTACTAACTGATCAACACTAGGTTGATCACATGGCAGAAATACTCTCTAGGGATT